ATTTTTTCAATAATTAGCTCATATTGTATAAAATATAACTCTGCCTGTGAATTGGCAATTTACAATCGTACAAAAGAATAAATAGATGAGTTCTCGGGAAACTTCTTTGAACAGTTTATTAAGTAACAGCGATTTTTTGCCAAAAAAAAAACACACACAAAAAACAGATATTAATTAGAACTGTTTTATGATTAAATAAAATTTTTATTCTTATTATAGGTTATAACATCGAGAAATTTCTTAACAGGCTGAAATTAGCTCAGTAATTGTTTTAGCTATTTAGTATTATAGGTATATTGTTTCCCCGACAGGGGCGAAAGCCGCCTGGAGAGGTCACCCGTTTTAACCAATAGCAATATTATACAGTAGTGTGTTGTCTGTCAGTCAGTTGGTAGACACTAAAATGACGTCATATAGGGGACGCTTAACGTTGCAATTTGTAACGTGCGAATGCCATGAATCACGAGAAGAATTATGCGCTCTGTCAGCTACAACACAGCATGAAATATGAATTTCAAAAGAAATAGATAAAAATATTTGTTACTCTTAATTTGCTCTTGAAACAGAACACTTTCTGGGACGCTGCGAAGTACATCAAGTTTACTATTTGAGGTGATATGGAAAGCAAAAAAAACATCCATCTTTATGCACAAGAGCTCTTCAAGCTTTACTAGACATGTTACAAGGTCAACAACCAGAAGGCTTAAAGTCTGAACCTTCAGAAATTATAGGTAAGTTATTGTATTTTTTGTAGAAGAAGACCAGAATTTAGTGGTTTTTTGAAGCTTGCATAACATCTTAAAAGGAAGAACAGTGTTCAGTCAGAAGCTAGTACAGAGCTATTACATTAAGAATTTTAGTATAGTTTGTAATAACTTATTTAAATATTGAAAAATTAGTTATTGAGCACTTTATTTGGTATATTAAAATCCATTATGTGAATTAGGAAAAAAAAAAATTAAGTTTTTAATATTTATATTTCATCTCAGTACCATATGCTGGAACAGATCATGTGTTACTCAGTTTTGTTGACAGACTGTATGCTATTTGCCACACTAATTTTTCTTTTTTTTTTCATAAAATATTTTACAAGTTTTGATTGATTCATGCAGAATAAAGTTTGTAACTATTTCTAAACTTCATAAATCTTTGTAACAAGGGTGAAATTCTCAAAAAAAAGTAGAGGTACTCAAATGGGTCAAGTGGCCTGTTTTTGAAAAAGAAAAAAAAAATCTGTAAATATGAAACATGATAAAGCAGCTCAAACAAATCTTGGAACTAGTACCTCCTTGAAAAATAAGTTCTGATATTCAGAACAGGTGAGTACTGGCAGAATTTCACCCCTGCATTGTAAACTATTATGATTTTACATTTGCTGTTGTGAGAGGTTTCAACATGCAAGCATTGTTTTATTAGTGTGGGTGTGTTAGGAATTTTCATTTATGTAAAAAAAGAAAACATTCCCAGTGGTTCTTTTTAGATGATACTAAAGTTATTTTTGGCCATAATTCCAATAATATATCATTAACAGTCATTCTAATCTTTATAAACAAGAATATAAGAAAAGTATATTTAATTAGCTATAGTCATTACCAATAACAGATTGAATTTTAATTTGGCTCTAAGCAGCTATCTTGCTCTGATCAGAAGTTAATTAGATGAAATTTGAAGCAAGCATTTTCTGAAAATAACTTTTTTAAGGTAAAAAAAAAAAAGAGAAGAAAGCATTATGAATTCAAAAACTCATTTGTAAGCTTGTTAGATAACAGATGATTATTGGTTTTTGAAGAACTAATTTTTAAATGGACTGTTTATTTATGTATCAAAATATTTATGTATTTTAATTGTTATTCAAATTATTTTCTCAGATACCCTATTTGACCTCTTACTGGATATAGCTGTTTCTCCTCCACCACCTGCAGACAATGCTCTCAATGCTGGAAATCAGCCTTCTCTTACAGCATATGCATGTGCTTGTCTTCTTAGTCTGGTCGTTGCCAGGGGAGACACAGGCAAACTTCTTAGTGCCACATCAGCTCTACTGATGAGTCCACGTGCTCTAGCTACAGAAGAAATTCCAGTAATTTTCTCTTTTTTTTTGAGAGAGAGAGGGGGTTAAATATTTTTATGAACAAAGGAAATTTCAACTAGTTATAAAAGTTAATTAAAAAAACATTTTTAGTAACTGTACAATGTGTACTGTATTAAAGCTCTATTAGACATAAAAGAATCTGAATACAAGAACTGATAACATTTGAATAACTGATGTGTTTGTAATAATATAATAAATAAATATTTTGTTTATAATGTTTCTTGAACACAATAACTGTCTTCTATTTTAAAATTTTATGAAATTGAAAGCAAATCATGAGAATTATTGTTATTCATTTAGATTTTAGTTTAAAAAATGCTCTCAAGCTCATTTTATAGGCAGAATTGCTGAAAATAAATTACAATGCTTTTTTTTCTCTTAAGCCCAAGAACAGTGTGTGAATTTCAGATTGTTTGAGGGAAAAAACTAATAATTCCTAAAAAAAGAAAACCAAAAAGTATAGTAATAGTATAGGTACAATCTCCAGAAATATGATTTAACCAATTCATTGCAGTAGGAGTATTTACTTAATATGTGGAAAATTGTTTTATAGTAATTTTGTTATAATGTTGCAAGTTTTCTTTCATAGTTAACTCATCTTGATATACGTACTTGCAGCACATATAAGCATCCACTGTTTAAAAGCTGTATGTGATAAATCTTGGGGCTTCTTCAACATTCGCTGCTTTGATTTTTTAGGATGATAGGGAAGGAAACTACTTGTACAAGTGAAAGCTTACTTAATCCTGTTTTTTATTTCAAGTTATATAAAGCTGCAGAAGTAAAAGAGTGAATGCTATAGCTTCTATGGCACATGCATGCACACAAATGAATATCATGCTGTATTTCCTATGGGATAATTTATTGAAAGTGGTAAAGTGTCAGAAAGTAGAAATAGTGAATTAGGACCATAAATCTCAGTTTTATGTGTGTTGATACATCATTTTGAATAACTTGGATATTTAGAAAAAGCATGTGTAACAATGATGGATCTGGAATTTTGGCCAGGTGGGGGTGTGTGTGTAAATTTTCAGAAAGATAAAGTGGAGGCTTACTTGGCGTGTACACTTAGCTTACTTGTGTGGATTTGAAACTCAATAAATATTTATTTCAACGATTCACTTAATGAAGAACATAATAAGGAATCTCTGTATAAAACATGTTTTGACCTAACAAACCCCTGACTTCAAAAAAAAAAAAGAAGGCCAATATTTTCTTCATTACTCCTTTATGTGTACCTCTACTTACATAGCCTGAAATTGCAAGTATATGTAGATCACAAACTTTTGGTAGAGTTTTTTTATTGGAGAGTTTAATCATTCTGAAGCATTCATGGTGTGTTATATAATAAGTTGTTTTATACTAATATCGGCATTGGAAAGGTTTAGAACTGAGCAAGCATTTACATGGATACATATCTTTCACAAAATTTCATTTACTCTGAGGGTTTAATGAACCTTTTGAACCTCAGTTGTTCATGCTTAGTTGTAAATGTTTCATGCACAGATAATAAATAGCAGGTGAATGTAACATTGAAATTTTTATATTCATAACATAGCTTTAGAAAGTGGTTTTAATTGTTGATTTGTATGCCTTTAACTATTCTTGAAATTCCTAAAGACTCCAGGAATTATGACAGCCCTTCAGAGAAGTGTCCATGCTGTTCTTCTTGGGAAGACCATACAACCTGATTGGTTGACCCATGGAGTGACAAAGTCATCTCTCTGTGATACTTTTAGTGTACAAATACCACAAAGTAAGTCTTGATTTTATTTTGAGTCATAACATATTAACACTCTGCTGTATTATCTGCATTCTGTGATTTTGTTTTTAAAATTAAATCCAATGTTCAAAGACGTATGGTGTGATAAAAATATACTAGTGATATTTTTAAAGAACTCTGTGATATGAAAACTGTAACATATTTCAATATTTTTATTGTAGTATTGTAATAAAATTAAAATAATGATTTTTTTGTTTCTTAGAATTGTTCATGAGTAAAAGACACACATTGGCATTTTCTTTTCTATATATGTGATTGAAGAATAAAAACATGACATTTCAATTCTTTATTACTGTTTAGTTAGTTTTATGTTTCTAGAAAGAACAAAATATTAAAGTTGTGATAATAGCTTTCGAGCAGTTTATCTTGAATTACAATGTTAAACAAATTGTTATTTTTAGGTTTTAAAAATGCTTGACAATAATTATGCAATAGCTTTAAAATATCAAACATAACTAGAAGAGAATTTTTAAGTGTTCTGTTTCCATGTTTACAGCCAAGGGATTACAAGGTTGCTCAATGGTGTCAGATGGGAAGTACTTGTATATATTGAATAATGGTACTTTCTATAAAGTTGGGTCAGGATATGGGGGAACTGTAAAGGTAAGACTGTCTATTCTTTTAAATCTGTCTCTTAATCTTTGTTGTTAGAATAATCAACCCTTATTTCCACTATCCTGTACACTTTTAAACAACTTTGGGATATCTATACATCAAAACACAATTCTTATCATGGTAAACTGAGGGTTAGTTGCAAACTATGATGGTAATGTTACAAGACCCTTGTAGTCCTGAGAGATACTTCTCTAATGTTCATAATAGCCATGATTACATACTACTATCTGATATTTCATCTCCCACTGTAACGAGCTGTCAGTGATGGTGAGGTCAGTCTGGACTACATATTTTGACACTTTTTACAGATTCCAATGTCCATTTCCAAGACCAAATTTAATTGGACAAAAGACACAAACATCCACTGGGAAACTTGACAGGTATATGGTTAAATGGTAATGCTGCAATTTCTGTATCTTTTAGCCACCTTCTTTATGAAAACAATCATTGATTCAAGGTTTGGTTGGAAGCATCTGAACTTTGGGCTTGTGAGCCTTTGTCATCATATTTATTATTTTGTTAACATTACTAAGAAATGTGTCCAGCCTCATTGCAGTGGCTTGATGGGTTGGAGACTTTTCTTTCATAGCAATAGCCTTCACTTTGTGAATGAAAGTGTTGCCCTGAGTTGGCTTGAGGAGTGATTTTTAGAGCTATTCCTGTCCCAAATGCTTTTGCTAGATAAATTTTTCCACTTTCATGGAGATCATTGATGCTTATTTTTCAAAATGTTTTTTCTTTTGTCTTTAAATAATCCATCCTTACTGCTGTATGAACATGCTTCCTCAGAATGGGCTGTGACATCTTTCTTCAACCATACGTTTATCCTTGTAGTTTTACAGTGAGCCAAATATATAAATGCTAAAAAAAAGTTGCCACTGTATTAGCATATCTAAATTATTATCTTAAACTGTGATTAACTCTCTATCTAATAACTATAAACAACCAGTCAAAATGTTTGGTTATCATACTTTGATTTTTATTAAACATATTACAGTGATGAATTCTTAGTGTAACTCTTAAGGTAAAAATTCTTCATATGGTCAAGAATTGCACTTTTCAAATAATTTTTTTTTATTTCTTAGAATAGAAGAATTCCTTATGTACCTGAATTGGGTATACCCTTTTATTATAGATACAATAAAGTTCTGATATAAATTTGTTGTACTTGAATCATTTCAGAACTAAAAACATTGGCATACATTTAATATTTTAATTTGCTTATACATTACTAAGATGGCACAAAAAATTATTTATTACACAGAAAACTTCTAAGAAAAGAAAGAAACTGTGATTGTTTATGCCAATATGTAGATAAGGTTTATATGTTTCTGTGTTGGTACAAAGATGCTTGATTGGCACATATCATTAAATCTATGAATTATTTACAGTATTTATTAATACTTCTGTGTCAAATTAAACATAACTGAAAATGCAGTACTGCATATACCAACTGTACTGCAATATTTTTATTTCATTATTTTATAATAAAATTAGTATCAGATTTTTTTATTGAATGAAGATATTAAAAATATGTAACATCTGTGCTGAAACTGCTCGACTTTTTTTTTTCTTCATTTATTATATTATAAAGGCTTCTTATGTTCCAGTAATTATTTACTAATGTGATTTTTAGTTATTAGTTGTTGTTTTTAATTTTATTTCATCCCAAAGTACATAAAAGTTCATGCTCTATGTTGTTATGCAGTAGGTTGCCAAATCTTAACTGTGTTTATTGTTCATATTGTTACAGGGTTTGAAATATAATGTATTTTCTAATATAAATATTTGTTAATGATTCTTTCTAACCATATAATTTTAACTGATAGATATCTTGTTTAAGTGTTAGATTAGGATTTATCTCCAAAGCAAAGTAAATACATGTTTGCCAAGAACACTTGAGAAATTATAAAAAAAAAGTTGTCACACCTTATGATAAGAGATAAAATGATTTAAAAAATGAGTTAAAAAATTAGAAGTTTAAAGGTACTTTGATAATGTTTTAGAATTCAGATATTGTTTATGTTTATTTTAATTAGTTATGCTTGTATGTGTCATTTAAAAATTTCTTAGAGTTCAATTTAAAAGTAAAATCTTAGAAGTTTTATTAAATTTTCATTTAAACAATATTCTTGGGCAAATAAGACTTGATATAACTGGGATTGTGATTATTTTGAAATAAATAACTTGTATCGGTGTGTTTTCCTGTTAAACTGTGTAACTTAAATTAATATTTTAACTATTTTTGTTATTTTTAAAACGGACATGTGCTTTTATAACTTATTCAATTAATGTTTAATATTTAAAATTAATTATTTTATTGCTTACATTTTTACAGTTTCTTTGAAATGAAAACTTGGCTTTTATGTTTTTAAAATATTATAATTGTAGATGTATGAAATATTTCAGGGGCAGATAATAATTAGCAGAGGTGGAATAAAAACTGATGATAAACCTTGGCTTGGATTTTCTACGGTCAGTGTTGTTACCGTGATATAATCTAATGACTATTTGATTTCTTTACTTTCACGAATGGACTAACTTTTGATGAATAATATGAATAAATATATTGTGTTAAATTATATTTTGATGCCTGAGTCTATTAAAAGTTTTACTAGTTGATCTGCTAAATACAAGATGGCATATTTTGTTATAGCATATGATGCTAAAACACTAAAAATCAACATGACCAGATATTATGAGTTTCTACATTTTATATTAATATAACTTTAGTAGTTTCATCCAGCTTGTTATTAGGTAAAATGCATAAACCCTTGGGTGAGAATGTTTCAATTACTATAATGGAATTAAAGTAAGTTATTCACCAAGAATTTCTTTGTTTCCATTAGATTATTATGTTTTCTAGAATGAGATAAACAACTTTAATAATAAAAATTTTTTTTTTTTTTCAGAATCATTTGTATCTTCAATCTCGGATAGGACTAACAGGTGTCTTAGCAAAAATTGATAAAGAGACTTTAAGGGAAAAAGAACGTGTATTGATGGATAGTAAGTCTGGTGATGTTTTGATAGAAGTTATAAAAAAAACTTTTTGAGGTCATTTCAATTTTAGTTCTTACAAAATGTGTGCTAACAGGACTGAAGTTATCATGAACCAAAATAGAGGTTTATAGTAGGGTTTGCCCAGGAATCTCACAAAAGTTCTGATAGAATATATGGGGAAAAAAATCATTTTAAAAAGCAGACTTGTTCTTGAAACAACACTCAAGACCTTCTATCTTGATAATATTGATAATAGCAAAAAAGTTGATTTGCCGATTGTTAGACAAAATTCATCCATTTGTTTGTCATATTATTCTTGTTTCACAAGCCTACAAAAAAAACGACTATGAAAATTTTATTCAAACTTACCAAACTCCTGTGCAGGTCATAGGTCTATTTTTATGTTGACTCCCGAAGGAAAAATTTTATCAGTTTTTTTCATCGCTACTGGCCAAGTTTCTCTTCAAAGCCATTCAAGCACCAAAGCCTACAGCAAAAACATCTAGGTATACTGTCCCAAAATCTATACGCAGCCATTAAACACACTCCTGTGAAGGTTGTAGGTCTATTTTTAAGTTGATTCTTGAAATTCAAGATTTCCACCCTCTAATATTTTCAAAAATTTTCTTTGCTACCAACATAAGCTCTTTGAAACCATTTAGGAAATGCAGAAATATAGAAACCATTTAAGCATTGTTATACTAGTTGGAAATGCTTTTATTAGAGTACACAATGTGTATATTTATAACAGTGTCTCTAGCCTAATATTATTGATTATAGTTTTACAAGCTGCTACAGAAAAAATGACTACAACTATTTTACTGAAACCTGGACAATAATAATGAATGCAGTATTGAGTATGTCATAGGATAGTTTTAATATTAATTCAAGCATCTTCGTTTTTTTGCCATGCAGAATTTCTCTAAGTCCTTCACTTTCTGCCATTGAAAATATCCCTTATTTTTTATAATGTGCATTAATTGCAAAATAATTTGTGTAACTTATAGCACATTAATTGGAAATTGCCTGAGTTGAGGATTAATCATTTTTTGAGTTTTCTTTTCTTCATTGTTTCTAGAATTTGCTGTTGTACTTTGTCTCTTTGTGGTTTTCTGTGATTATATCAGTGAGTTTTCTAACAGAAGATTATTACTATAGTAAATTTATCTACTCTTGTGAGTGGTGATTTATTCTACTGATTTTCATACTTTGTTAAATGTTTGGTTACACGAAACCTCAGGCACAAAATCATCTGGCTCAGTAAATAATGGTTGGGTGGAGAAAAAATAGCCAATGCAGCAGTAAACTGCAGTACAAAAAAAAAATTAGGCTGGAAATAGTGTCTACATTATTATCTCAAGCTACATATCCCTGTTATGACCCCATGTTCACAGTACTTATCAGTATAATCTTTGCATTTTGATTCAACTTCTTTTTGACAATCCATATTCCCCTTTTTAAATTAACAACTTTTAATTATCTTGCCTTTTAGTTATGCTTTTTCCAATCTTTTATATTGCTGTCTTTTTCCAAACTTCATTAAAAAAAGTGTGTTAAGTATCTTGTCTAAAAGTTAAGTACATGATTTTTAGAGGGTATTAGAATGTTAACTTAATCTTTGGTGATAATAGTTTAAAAATAAATTTTAAAAACATACACTGAAATTTTTCTCTGCCCCCTGGTGGCTTAGTTATAAAATTAAAAGTTTATAACTGATAAAATGTGGGGTTTGATCCTTGTTATGGGTACAATGCAGATAGACAATTGTGTACTGTGTGTTTAAGGAAGAAAAACATGAAGACCTTGCTAGGTATGGATTAGGCATACAGTGAATGAAACTGTTGAGATTAGCATTTAAGTTTAGTGTTTCAGGTCCTCTTTTTTTTTTTTCAGTGTTGATATAACAAATTACTACTTTGGCTTTCACCCGTGCTGTAGAATAGTGTAACATTTCCATGTTTGAATATGAAATTATAAATATGAAGAAATGTTCATTTATTAGATAGTCTGTTCATGATAATATTATGAAAACTGAATTACTGTCACTGTTCTTGCATTTATTCACTTAGTGCAAAGCCCAGTGCTTTAATTATTCAGTTGAATATACAGATCTCTCTGTAGTGACTGATGGACTTAAATATTACATATGATACACCAAATTTACTAGTCAACAGTTTGAATTTTTTAGGGTGAATTTTGACAATTAAAAATTTATTAATTTGAATGCAAGCAAATTCATTCTGTTCTTTACAGAATATAGATGGAGTTTGCGTAAGAATTTTTATTTGATGTTATTTTTTGTGATTGTTTACTTGTATGTACAGTTGTTCATATTTGTAACAGCAAGCTGCTAACAACAATATTTAAAGGAGTTTTTGTGTTCTTTTAGGTTCGTGTGATAACTTACCGGGGGTTTACTTCATAATTGTAGAAATATTAGGCTACATTTTAGGTCAATAAAAGATTTCATTATGGCAGTGCATTCTTATCCAGTTTTATGGCTAAAACCCCCCAGTGGCACAGCGGTATGTCTGTAGACTTACAATGCTAAAAACCAGGTTTTGATACTATGGTGTGCAAGAGCACAGATAGCCCATTGTGTAGCTTTGTGCTTAACTAAAAACAAATGAATTTGTGTCCAATTATTATGTGAAAATAGTTTCAAGAGTTGAAAAACAAAAATTTTGTCTTAACTTTGTAATTATTCTAATATATTCAATTTATCATGTAAATAAATTTTTCTACAAGCTTTTGTGTATAATTAAGAAAAATGCACCATTACTTTTAAAACAGACATTTAAATTTCAATATTTGATAGGAATGAGTAGTTACACAGGTTTTGGTATCTTCAGATTTTTTCAAGTTCTAATCAAGTCTTTTTGAGATTTTGTTAAATATTTATTCCTTTGCTGTTAAGAAAGAACTAAATAAAAGGTCTGACTACTTAGTGTGAGGTTTTGGGATCATAAGTAAATGTACTACATGTAGCATAAGATTACATTTGAATTGCATTAAATAGTAACTTCTTTATTTGTTACCAATTATAAAACATTTTATTTTGCTTTTAAGTCTGCTGTTGTCTTCAGGTGTTGTTCGTGGAATTTAATTGGTTTATAAATTATATTAATTAATAGTTTTAACTTGCATTTCATTATATTTAATGATTTCTCTTAAGTATTAAAATATTTAAGTTTCTTGTTTATTCCAGTAACAGAAACAGGACCAAGTGCTTGCTTCAGTGATGGTGATACTATAGGCATGATTACTGCATCCAAAGATGTAAGAAGTTTTTAACATTGGTTTTCTTTGTTTATATTCTTATTCATGGGAAATATAAAATAGCCATCATATTTTTTTATTGTTTAACTCTGTCAACATGGGCTCAGTCGATTTGACCGATCATGTGACTTCTTTGTATTCGTATAAAGTCTTTATACATTTGATACTACTAACTTTTAGTATGGTACGTATATCTTCACAAAACTTGGCAGTCTTTCAAATGCAAAAAATCATATTTTTCTTGTGAAGTATTTTAAATATACCAAAAAAAAAGATTTGTCCATGAATATATCTAGTATTTGTTTTGAATAGTCCATGTGCAAAGTAATTTTCATGTTAAGATTAAAAATACTTCGTCTCAAAAATCTCAGATTTGATGTGTAATCTCTAAAAACCCCTAAATACATTTAAATATTTTTTCCAATAAAACTATATTTTATCTGTTATTTTCTCTACCCTAACTCTATACAAGGTTGATCAATTTGACTGACCTCATAACCACCAAAAAACAAACAAATAGAAACAGGAATCTACATTTGTTTATCCTAAGTAGCTTTAATCTCATAACAGCATACATCTATTTATACTTAAATTTTATTGTTTTATTGACCTTTGATTGCCCTTTGAACCATGTCTAACTACTATCTGTGCCATTATAAGTTGTAAATCACTTGGGAAACATGTAGCTCACGTTACTCTATCAAATTACATTACCCACAAGCTGCTCACATATATGCCATGTGAAACATTTTTATTATATTATTATTATTTATTTTATATATTCTAATCTTAACTAACCTAAAGAGATCATTATTTTTACATTTTAGTTACTTTTATAATCTATAATAATGAAAGGGTGTGTCTGTGTGTGTGGCTGCCATAACTCCAAGAGCAAAGAACCTTGAAACCTGAAATTTTTTCACCCTTACTAAGTGGCCCCTGAGGGTGTGCACCTGGGTATTATTACTTATCCACTTGCATGTGCATCTTCTTAATGAGGCAAGCTAGCAAAAAATCACATTGAAAAGAAGAGGTTCCTTATATTATAAATAGCAATCACAGATAGACATGCACGTGTGTGCAAGTGCATGTCTGTGCATGTGTGACAGACATAGCTCCAAGAGGAAAGAACCTAGAAACCTGAAATTTGTACCCATAGTAAGTTGACCCTGAGGGGTTGCACCTAGGTATTGTTACTAATATAGGTGCATGTGCATCTTAATATGTGAAAAAACACAGAAAAAATGTATGCATGTACATCTTTTTAATGAGGCAAGCTCTAAAAAATCACATAGAAAAGAAGTGGTTAATTATATTACAAATTATAGATATAAATTACAGACACGCACGTGCACATCTTTTTAATGAGGCAATCTAGTGAAAAACCACATAGAAAAAAGTGATTCCTTATATACTTGTAATATATATATATAACCTAATGTTGTTAAGAGGGTATGTGCTGAAAGTATAAAATGAAATGTATAAACTACAAAATTGGAAAACATATTTGTTGTTTTTTAATTTAGAGGCTCTGTTAATTAAAGAGGTTTGTTTTTTTATTATTTGTTTTATTATTTAAGTTTAAAATCAGAGGGAAGGTTACCTTTATAAACAGGCCACATCCCATAAAGGAGCAACAAAAATATATACTTTTATGCTAAAATGGGTTCAGAATACACATACTGACATAGTCATCTAGAATAAATCAACCTAATAATCCAAGCGAAGCCTGGTACTTTAGCTAGTGATAAATAAAGAATAAAAAAGAAATAAAGAACTTATCCGAACCTTCTTTATTCTTGCTGTCGATTGTTGATGACACTTAACCCTACTTTTTTTATACTAATGGTATTGTGCACTAAATAGTTTTTAATTAATTAAATAATGCACCAAAGAACATAGAATAATAACATGCAAAAAGTAGACACTTTACCCTAACTAACCACCAAAAAATTTAAATAAATCTAAATTACCCTTTTTTATCTTTCTAGAATGACTCCAAATTGTAACCTGAAACTACATTCGTTTATCCTAAGTAGCTTTAAACTAGTAACAGTATACATCTATTTATACTTAAATATTAATGTTTTATTGCCATTTGAACTATGTGTAACTACTATTTGTGGCATTATAAGTTGTAAATCACTTGAGGAGCGTGGAGCTCATGTTATGCTATCGAATTACACTACCCATGAGCTACCCAAGCTGCTCATGTGCGTGCATAGTGAAACATATTTGTTATTATTTATTTTACCTAATCTAACTTTAATTCATCTAAAGAAATTCCTATTTTTACATTTTAGTTACTTTTATAATAATGATAAATAAAAAATACACATGAAAAACAAGAAATAAAGTATTTACCTGGATCTTTTTTTGCTGTCGACTGTCAGTGACACCCCTACTTTTTTTATACTAATGGTAGTAATGCTCAAAATAATTTTTATTTAATTAGATAATTCACCAAAGAACATAGAATAATAACATGCAAAAAATCAGACAATGTCCCATAACTATCAGAATTTTCTGGCTTTCTAACTGTACAACAAGAACAGTTACAAAATCATCCAAGCTAATTGTTTACTTTCCTGTCGGAACGAATCTTGTGCTAACAGTGAAATTAACAATTCTCTGTTCAAAAAAACAATGTTATATAATACATCATTTGATAGATGAAAACCTTAGCTTTATAATGGTTATAGTTAATATAAAATTAAACATAAGAGAGAACTATTAACAAATTCTGAAAGAGAGGATGTGACAGGTGGGTGTGGCAAGAGGGGTCTGATTTTCTATTTGATGGCCCTGTAACCAAACAAAATTGAAGGCTATAAACATGGTTTATCTGAGCAATGACAATTTTATAGTGATTAATTATGTTGAATTTTGTACTTATTGGAGGGGTAGTGAATAAACTAGAGTAGAGGAGATGCCTAGAAAAAATGTATCACATGCGTCACACTAGGGGAAATTCAGGGTTTTGTTAAGTATTGCTCTATAAAATGAAGAACTTAAAACTTGTATATTATGAAAATGTGGATTATTATCTAAGATTTTATGTTATGCTAATTGATATAACATAAAAAAAAAGTAGATTAATAAAATTTTAAATGTAAGTCACTAAAACCTCATGACATGCACATTAAATGATGCCCATGACGATAGGGTTAAGAAACTAATTTTTACTCACACATACATTTCACAAGTAATCCTTTCCAAAATGAACCCTTCCCCTAGTGGCTCAGCATTAGGTTTGAAGACTTACAGTGCTGAATTTGAGGTTCAATCTCTGTGGTTGATGCAGCACTATTAGTCTGTTGTGCAGCTTTGCACTTGAATACAAACAAACCTTTCCAAAAATACTGGCAGATGGTTTAGTACCTCAGATATATCTATCTGTCTGTCTGTCTATATTGCTTTGAAATTTTTTCTTTTAGAACCAATACTTTAAGAAAAACAATAGTTTGTGTTGTTTTGGACAATGAGAGTGTTTAATCTAAAAAATTTATCCTCGCTAGCAAAATCATGAACTTGTTGTGAACATGAATATCAGTATTTATTGAATAATAATGTTAGTTCAAGCTGAGAGAAATAAAAGAGATGCATGCAATGGATGATTTCTGCATTGCTTTGAGAATGAGCAAAGCATTCCATTCCTTATAGGTTATAAGTGTGATAAATGTAAGAATTTTTATTATACTTTATGACAGGTTACTTCTGTTTGTATAGTACTGTTATGAGCTTTCTCTTTGAATTATCGTGAGAAAATTTAGTTACTTTAAATGTTGGAAAACATAAATTAAATGTCCATCACTTCATATGTTCCTTATGATAAAGAAGCATTTTAAAACATTGATATTAAAGAGTGTTGTATGTAAAGAAGCATTTTAAAACATTGATATTAAAGAGTGTTGTATGTAAAGAAGCATTTTAAAACATTGATATTAAAGAGTGTTGTATGTCAGAGTTTAAACTGAACATTAGGCAACAAGTCAAAAGCAAATTAACAAGAAATGTACAAGTCAAAAAATCAAAGAATTTGTAATGTGAATATTTAGAAAAAGCTGTTGAAATACTTTTGAATTTTAAAGTTTTTTTACTTTCTGTGATAAATATTTAAGAGTACCACCAACTTGTTTTCATTTTAATTAAATTTTTTAGATATTAAATGGGAACACTAGATTATCTGAACTTTAGTATCGGACATCGGTAAAACTATGAAGGTTTGTTCCGTTGATTTACATTAGTTTTTTTAAATTACTTTTCTTATTATTAAGAAAATTTTTAGACTAAGAAATTTCATTAAACTTTATAATGGTAAAATATAATTGAATATTACATTTTATTGTTGTGTGTTTGAACCGCCTGATATTTGTACCCTATAGGACAGTTTTGTAGTGAAAACCTTCAATCCTTTAAACTCCCCCATGCTCTGTGTTCGAGAGCTAACTCTGAAGCTGGCGAGAAAGTGTCTCGATGTATATGGCTCAGGAATTTTTGATGAAGAAGCCCTTAGTCACACTGTGGGTAAGCATATATTTAGGAGTAATTGGTGCCCATAGTTTTGTGCATGTTCATTTAAAATTCCTATATTGTTTGCTTTAATTTCCGATTTCTTTCTACTTGAAACAAGTTTAAATCCTTCCATACACCTTTAAAAGGTAATTAATTGGATACAGACTTTTATTACTATAATGCCTTACAACCAGCAAAATTTGTTGAAATTCATGGTAAGTTGGTTTTATGAAATAACCCTTTGAAAAGTTATAAGCACTTTGTAAATCCATAAAGAACAAATTTTTTTGTATGGTATATTCTGTTTTCATTTTGATATACATTCTTCTGTGTCTTTTTGGAATTTATTATTTTTACATACCTATATCAAGTGAATAATACTATTCCATCCTGAAAAACAGAATCATTCATTTTAACTTTGTTACATCTTGCAGTCATTGTATTTCTTATATAGTGATGCAATTGAAATTAATGTGAGTAAATGTTCTTCCACATCTTGAAACTTAAAATCTGGTGTTCAGTCAGTTTTAACTGTGTATTATCTGATACATTTTAATTGTAAAGTATGCTTGTTTTTTGCTGTTTTTCTATTGTGGAAATGGATTAACAATAATTTTAGTATATTAAAAAAGTATTGTATTTCACAATTACAAATATATATTTATACTTGTAATTGTGACTGGAAACTAGTGATGTATTTCAACTTATTTTTTAAGATTTAGGTTGTTTTATGTTTCTTTCTTTAGTTTTAGGTACAGAAGAGGAACCAGCTAGTATAGGATGTGGGAAAGATTTTGCATTAGTTAGGACCTCATCAGGAAAGGTAATATAACTTATTTTACATGACTTGTTTTTCTTTCAGTTCATTGCATATAAAAATATAGCTATATATATCTTAATTAACCTTTTTTATTGTTATTGGTTTCCAAGGCTACCAAGTATGGAGCAAAAGTGTTTGATTGATCAAATTGAATGATTTTTTTTTTTTACAGTATTGAATTATGAAACAATAACTCATAAATAAAATGAAAGAAAGGAATTGTGGAGGACTTGCATTGATAGAAGTAACGTCTTGAATAATAACTGATTATATGAATAATAAAGCCAACTCATTCCTTATAACTGAAGCAATATCTGTGCAAAATTGTTGTTTTTCTCTCATCTTATTTATTTATTTATATAAATGAATAAATAATTTTTTTTGTTTTGACTGTATTAACTTGAGCTTAACTTCTATTGTTTTCATAAACTACAACAGGTTTTATTCAGCTGCTAACTCTGAACTTGTGAATTGTTGTTTTTCTTTTGAGATTGATACATGGATATAGGTTTCCTAATTTTCAAGGTATCTTACTATGCTTTGTTAATTTCCTTAGATACTGTTCACAGGAAAAGCTCAGAGTCTTGGGGTCAAACAGGCTAGCCCTGTGCCAGGAAAGTGGGCTGATCTTCCCATTACAAAGTCTCCTAAGATTGTACATTATTCTGTTGGTCATGATGGTCTCCATTCCCTCTTGGTTGCTGAAGATGGTTCTGTATTTTTTGTTGGCTTAGCAAGGCGAGGAGAGGATGGAGATCAGGGTATGGATTTATGTTGAGCACATTTAGATTTTAACTGAACAAGAACTCCTTATTCTAATTACTTGTGTGGGCACAGCACAAATATTCCATTGTACAGTTTTGAGCTAAAATACACACTCACGAATAATGATTTTTTTTTTTAATTTGTAGCACTTGGTTGAGGTTTTCATCTGCTGATGGAATTTGAAATAACTTACATAAAGTAAATAAATAAAGTAAGATAAAAAATATCTCACTGTTAACATTGTTAAATGTTTGGAATGATTCTTTATTCTGTTTTGTTTAATGAAGATGACAACTTCAGAAATAATGTTTAATTACTTGTACCCGACATTTCGGCTTACACCATTAGCGAAGGTCTATGAATGTCAAAAGTTACCAAACTGTTTTAAATTACGACAACCGAGAACAAAATACAGCTACAACAATATTGTAATATGTTTATTATGTTTTCTTTGAGATTTTCTATCATCATTTTTAGATAGTTATTGAATACTAGCTGGTGTACCCGTCTCCTGGATGGAAGTTATGTAAATTCATGATTAATGAAAGTTTATTTTAGGACATGAAAAGTTGCTTCCCTTATATGTAATTGTGAAAAACTCATAAAACCTGCAAAACATAATATGTGAAACTGCAAGTTCTTATGTATCTCTACATAGACCCAACAAACCTTCATGCCAAATTTGGTGAAGATCCATCAACAGGTGGTGAAGTAGTGGTAAAAAATGCTTATAAAACTGAAAATTTTTATGCATCTCCCCATGGACATACAACAGAGAGTACTATTATATTTTTACAGATAAGGTGTTATACTCTCAAGGATCAATGCTATCTGATATGCACTATCTCTTTGTTATTGACTTGTTTTTTATTTGTATTTCAGTGATTTTTTTTGTTTGTTTTATCTGACATAGATGATGCTATTTCCAATGTACAGGCCCCCAGTGGGTTTGATATTTCTAATGCATTCACACACACACACACACATACATACATACATACATACACACACACACACACACACACACACACACACACACAC